TGTGCCGAGACCTCCATCCCTCGCTGCTAGGTATACGTGTGTGTTAGGGAATGATTGCGGGTGATGAAGTATTGTCTTCATGCGCACCCTGAGTTTTTTGTCGATGCCGGCCGACTCCCCTGCCGATCCCAGAATTGATGATGCTGCATACAGGTACTTTGGTGTGATTAGGATGTTGATACACCGCAGCTTCTGGAAAGGCTTCAGGGAGGCGGACTCTATGATTGTTAGGTCATCCTCGGCGTGCTGGGAATGAACCACCGGGCGTTTGTTAATAAAGAAATCAATGCCGAGGTATCGGATGGGTGTATCAATGGGGGTGGATGGGACGGGTATGCCGGCGACAATGATTGGAGGTAGGTCGTAGAGAAGTCGGTCAGCTGTCGCCTTCCAGCCAAACAGGACTGTCTTTGCTGGGTTAAGCACCAGCCCCACCTCTGCTAGGTATGATTCTGTAGTCGCCAGCAAACTTCGGAGACCCTCAAAGCTGGAAGATGTTAGGATGAGGTCATCGGCAAATGCGAGGGCTCCAATGGTCTGGCTGCCGACGTCTAGACCCGCCCGGTCCCGGTTAAGATCCATTAGTAGGGGGTCGAGCACGCAATTAAAAAGGAAAGGGGAAAGGGGATCTCCCAGCTTAATTCCCTGTCGTACAGGGACCTTGATATGGTCTGTTGTACCGCCGGCCCGGAAGGTGGTGGATGAGCCGGCGTACAGATCCCTAATGACTTCAACGTAGGCTGTTGGCAGTCCCCTCCCCCTGAGGACCTCGATGATTGCGTGGTGGCTTACACTGTCAAACACCTTTTTCACGTCGAGGCTCAAGGCGAAGAGGCTGCGGCGGTCGGTTTTTCTTTTTTTCACGAATGCCTGTAGTATGATAATGTTTGAGGATGCGCTGCGGTCATCCCCAAAGCCCCCCTTAAAGTCGTGGAATTGATGATCCTCTGTGAAGCGTTTTAGTAGTGACCGGGTGTACAATCGTAAGAGGAGGGATGAAATAGTAATGGGACGGAAGTCCCCCCCAGTTGTGGCATTCCGTGTCTTTGAGAGGAACACCGTTCGAGCGGTTTTAAGTTCCTCTGGAATGGACGCGAACACCAGCCAGTTAGTAAACAGGATGGCCAACACCGCTTGCGGGATCTTCCGTAATTCCGCCAGCGTTAGTCCGTCGGGTCCAGGGGCCGTGCTGGTGTCTGTACACTTGAGTACCTTTTGCACCTCGAAGTCGGTAAAGGCCGGTATAGTCATTTGGTCTAGGTTAGGTTCAGGAATGATGGCGCTGTCTATTGGTCTCGAAGGGCTAGACATGAGGGGGTCATACACTCTATGCAGTTGTTGTAGAGTGACGCTAGGATCACCTCCCCCCATCCGCAGTTCGTCGACCAGCACTTTAGGTCCTAGTTTGTATAGTCGCTCATGTTCTGCATATTGTTGACGGCGTCTTTGTGACCGGTTTTTTGGCGCATGTTGGTTTTGCCGCCTACCGTGCTTTTCTTTTGGCTGCCGTGCTGTGACCCCGAAATGTCTGAAAATTTCGTTGACTTCTGCCATACCTGCCGGGCGAGTGCAGAGTGCCCCGATGAGTCCCTCATTCGTGAGCCCCACCCTGTGCAGGCACGTCTGCACCTCCTGGGCATCCAGCAACGGGGGGGGGGGCTGACTGGGAAGAGGTTGTTGCTTTCACCGACACCGCTTTCACCGCTTTCACCGCTTTCACCGACACAACTGCCGCCGCCACGGTCACCGTGAACGAAAGAGACAGCGCCGAACGCGAATCGTCGGAGGCCGTGGTCGTTCAATAATTCGCTTTTACCGACACAACTGCCGCCGACACGGTCAGCGGGACCGAAAGAGAGCGCCAAAAGCGGATCGTTGGAGGCCGTGGTCGTTCAATAATTCGCTTTCACCGACACAACTGCCGCCGCCACGGTCACCGTGAGCGAAAGAGACAGCGCCGAACGCGGATCGTTCGAGGCCGTGGTCGTTCAATAATTCGCCTTCACCGACACAACTGACGCCACCACGGTCACCGTGACCGAGAGACAGAGCCGAACGCGGATCATCGGAGGCCGTGGTCGTTCAATAATTTTCTTTCACCGACACAACTGCCGCCGCCACGGTCACCGTGACCGAAAGAGACCGCGCCGAAAGCGGATCGTTGGAGGCCGTGGTCGTTCAATAATTCGCTTTCACCGACACGACTGCCGCCACCACGGTCACCGTGACCGAAAGAGACAGCGCCGAAAGCGGATCGTTGGAGGCCGTGGTCGATCAATATTTCGCTTTCACCGACACAACTGCCGCCGCCACGGTCACCGTGACCGAAAGAGACAGCGCCGAACGCGGATCGTCGGAGGCCGTGGTCGTTCAATAATTCGCTTTCACCGACACAACTGCCGACGCCACGGTCACCGTGACCGAAAGAGACAGCGCCGAACGCGGATCGTCGGAGGCCGTCGTCGTTCAATAATTCGCTTTCACCGACAAAACTGCCGCCGAAACGGTCACCGTGACCGAAAGAGACAGCACCGAACGCGGATCGTCGGAGGAGGTGGTCGTTCAATAATTCGCTTTCACCTAACCTAACCTAACCTAACCTAACCTAACCTAACCTAACCTAACCTAACCTAACCTAACCTATCCTAACCTAACCTAACCTAACCTAACGTAACCTAACCTAACCTAACCTAACCTAACCTAACCTAGCCTAACCTAACCTAGCCTAACCTAACCTAACCTAACCTAACCTAACCTAACCTAACCTAACCTAATCTAACCTAACCTAACCTAACCTAACCTAACCTAACTTAACCTAACCTAACCTAACCTAAGCTAACCTAACCTAACCTAACCTAACCTAACCTAACCTAAACTAACCTAACCTAACCTAACCTAACCTAACCTAACCTAACCTAACCTAACCTAACCTAACCAAACCTAACCTAACCTAACCTAACCTAACTCAACCTAACCTAACCTAACCTAACCAAACCTAACCTAACCTAACCTACCCTAACCTAACCTAACCTAGCCTAACCTAACCTAACCTAACCTAACCTAACCAAACCTAACCAAACCTAACCTAACCTAACCTAACCTAACCTAACCTAGCCTAACCTAACCTAACCTAACCTAACCTAACCTATCCTAACCGAACCGAACCTAACCTAACCTAACCTAACCTAACCTAACCTAACCTAACCAACCTAACATAACTTAACCTAACCTAACCTAACCTGACCTGACCTAACCTGACCTAACCTAACCTAACCTGACCTAACCTAACCTAACCTAACCTGACCTGACCTGACCTGACCTGACCTAACCTAACCTGACCTAACCTAACCTAACCTAACCTAACCTAACCTGACCTAACCTAACCTGACCCAACCTAACCTAACCTAACCTAACATAAACTAACCTAACCTAACCTAACCTAACCTAACCTAACCTAACCTAACCTTACCTAACCTAACCTAACCTAACCTAACCTAACCTAACCTATCCTAACCTAACCTGACCTTACATAACCTGACCTAACCTAACCTGACCTAACCTAACCTAACCTAACCTAACCTAACCTAACCTAACCTAACCTAACCTAACCTAACCTGACCTGACCTAACCTGACCTAACCTAACCTGACCTAACCTAACCTAACCTAACCTAACCTGACCTGACCTGACCTGACCTGACCTAACCTAACCTAACCTAACCTAACCTAACCTAACCTAACCTGATTTAACCTGACCTGACCTAACCTAACCTAACCTAACCTAACCTAACCTAACCTACCCTACCCTAACCTACCCTACCCTACCCTACCCTACCCTAACCTAACCTAACCTAACCTACCCTAACCTAACCTAACCTAACCTAACCTAACCTAACCTAGCCTAACCTAACCTAACCTGACTTAACCTAACCTAACCTAACCTAACCTAACCTAACCTGACCTGACCTAACCTGACCTAACCTAACCTGACCTAACCTAACCTTACCTAACCTGACCTGACCTGACCTGACGTAACCTAACCTGACCTAACCTAACCTAACCTAACCTAACCTAACCTAACCTGACCTAACCTAACCTAACCTAACCTAACCTGACCTAACCTAACCTAACTTAACCTGACCTAACCTAACCTAACCTAACCTAACCTAACCTGACCTGACGTAACCTGACCGGACCTGACCTGACGTAACCTGACCGGACCTGACCTGACCTGACCTAACCTAACCTGACCAAACCTAACCTAAGCTAACCTAACCTAACCTAACCTAACCTCACCTAACCTAACCTAACCTGACCTAACCTGACCTAACCTAACCTAACCTAACCTAACCTAAGCTAACCTAACCTAACCTAAACTAACCTAACCTAACCTAACCTAACCTAACCTAACCTAAACTAACCAACCTAACCTAACCTAACCTAACCTAACCTAACCTAACCTGACCTGATTTAACCTGACCTAACCTAACCTGACATAACCTAACCTAACCTAACCTGACCTGACCTGACCTGACCTGACCTAACCTAACCTGACCTAACCTAACCTGACCTAACCTAACCTTACCTGACCTAACCTAACCTGACGTAACCTAACCTAACCTAACCTAACCTAACCTAACCTAACCTAACCTAACCTAACCTACCCTACCCAACCCTAGCCTACCCTAACCTAACCTAACCTAACCTAACCTACCCTAACCTACCCTACCCTAACCTAACCTAACCTAACCTAACCTAACCTAACCTAACCTGACTTAACCTAACCTAACCTAACCTAACCTAACCTAACCTAACCTAACCTAACCTACCCTAACCTAACCTAACCTAACCTAACCTAACCTAACCTAACCTAACCTGACCTGACCTAACCTGACCTAACCTAACCTGACCTGACCTAACCTAACCTAACCTGACCTAACCTGACCTGACATGACCTAACCTGACCTGACCTGACCTAACCTAACCTAACCTAACCTAACCT